AATTACATGTGGCCAAATGCTTAGCTCTGGTAATTAATGCCTTATCTCAAATAGTTAACATTTTTATGGTGAGATCACATAACTGTCAGTATTTTTCACTGTCAGTATTTTTCAAGTGTAACACTGTCAAATGTAACAAATGCAATATTATAAACTACAGTCACAGTGCTGTGCATCTTGAACTTATTCTTCCTAATTAACTATAATTATGTAGTTTTGACAGACATCTTTCTAATTCCTCATTTTTTTCTAAATACCTTGGCATCTGATGGTCACCAGTTTGCTCTTTACATCAGTGAGACTAAGTTTTATAGAATTCATGTGTAAGTGAAATCATGACATACTAATATTTCTGTGACTGACTTATTTCATCTATGACTTATTTCACCTGAGGTCCTTCAGGTTAATGTAATTGGAAATAATAGAATTTTCTAAATATGAGTAGTATTCCATTGGGTATATATACCATAATGTCTTTATTTATTTATTAGATGTTGAACTGCTGACCATATAATTTGGCTGTTCTGAAGAGTGCTGGAAACAACATAGAAGTGTGAATATTTCTTTATTCTGATTTTTTTCAGAACATGTATCCCCTAGTGAAATCGTTGTATTATGTAATAGTTTAAGTTTTAAAATTTTTTTAGTAATCTCTATTTTGTTATTCATAATGGCTGTCCTCATTTACATTCAAACCAACAGTGTGAAAGCATTTTTAAAAATTCACATCTTTACCAGTCAACACTTTTTAAATTTTATTTATTTATTTTGAGACAGAGTTTTGCTCTGTCACCCAGGCTGGAGTGCAATGATGTGATCTTGGCTCACTGCAACCTCCACCTCCTGGGTTCAAGTGATTCTCCTGCCTCAACCTCCTGAGTAGCTGGGATAAGAAGTACCGGCCACCACACCCAACTAATTTTTTGTATTCTTATTAGAGATGAGGTTTCGCCATGTTGGCCAGGCTGGTTTCAAACTCCTCACTTCAGGTGATCCACCTGCCTTGTCCTCCCAAAGTGCTGGGATCACAGGCATGAGCCACTGCACCCAGCCCTTTTTTTTTTTTTTTTTTAAATGTAAGTAATTCTAACAAGTTAGTTGAGATATTAATAGTTTTTCTTTTGCTTGCTTTCCCTAATAAGAATTGACATTGAGCATTTTAAAATATATGTTTGCCATATGTATGTATTTTCTGGAAAAAATGTGCTTCTTGCTCAGTTTTAAAAGTTACTTGATTTTGTTGTATAGTTATTTAAATTTCTTTTTTTTTTTTGAGACAGAGTTTCGCTCTTGTTACCCAGGCTGGAGTGCAATGGCGCGATCTTGGCTCACCGCAACCTCCGCCTCCTGGGTTCAGGCAATTCTCCTGCCTCAGCCTCCTGAGTAGCTGGGATTACAGGCACGCGCCACCATGCCCAGCTAATTTTTTGCATTTTAAGTAGAGACGGGGTTTCACCATGTTGACCAGGAAGGTCTCGATCTCTTGACCTCGTGATCCACCCGCCTCAGCCTCCCAAAGTGCTGGGATTACAGGCTTGAGCCACTGTGCCCGGCTAGTTATTTAAATTTCTTACATATTTTTGATATTAACCCCTTGTCCCATTTTTTAGTTATCCTGTTGATTGTGTCATATTCTGTGCAGCAGCATTTTAATTTGAAGTATTCTGACTTTTGTTTTTCCTTTTGTTATATAAAAAAGGCACTGCCCAATCAATGTTACAGGGCTTTCACTTGGAGGTTTTTTTTTTTTTTTTTTTTTTTGGTAGTAGTAGCAGCAGCAGTAGTAGTAGTAGTAGTAGTAGTAATTGTTGTTGTTTTAGAGTTTCAGGCCTCACATTTATGTGTCTGATTTATTTTGAGTGGATTGTTATATGTAGTGTGAGTTTAGGTTCTCCTTCCTGCATGTGGCCATAAAGTTTTCTTAACAGCATTTACTGTCTTTTCCCTAAGAAATTGTCACCTTTGCTGGGCGCAGTGGCTCACACCTGCAATCTCAGCACTTTGGGAGTCTGAGGCGGGTGGATCACCTGAAGTCAGGAGTTTGAGACCAGCCTGATGAACATGGAGAAACCCCGTCTCTATTAAAAAAAAAAAAGAAAAAAATTGTCACCTTTATTTAAAATTGGTTAGCTGTAATTACATGGTTATATTTCTGGTCCCTTTTTTTCTGCTTCATTGGCCGAGTGTCTGTTTTTATCCAATTACCATATTGGTTTTGTTACTATAGTTTTGTAGTATATTTCAAAGTCAGGTAGGGCAATAGCTTCATTTTTTTCTCTTTGATGGCTTTGGCTATTCAGGGTCTTTTGTGGTACCACATAAATTGTAGATGTATTAAAAAAAATTTTTTTTTGAGACAGAGTCTCACTCCGTTGCTAGGCTGCAGTGCAGTGGTGTAATCTTGGCTCACTGCAACCTTCACCTCCTGGGTTCAAGCAATTCTGCAGCCTCAGCCTCCTGAGTAACAGCCTCACCAGCCACCACACCCAGCTAGTTTTTTGTGTTTTTAGTAGAGATGGGGTTCACCATGTTGGCCAGAATGGTCTCAATCTCTTGACCTTGTGATTCGCCCACCTCAGCCTCCCAAAGTACTGGGATTACAGGTGGAAGCCACTGCACCTGGCCTGCTTTTAGGAATTTTTATTGGAGGGTGCGGTGGCTCGTGCCTGTAATCCCAGCACTTTGGGAGGCTGAGGGGGGCGGATCACAAGTCACAACATGATGAAACCCCGTCTCTACTAAACGCAAAAAATTAGCTGGGCATGGTGGCATGCGCCTGCAGCCCCAGTACTTGGGAGGCTGAGGCAGGAGAATTGCTTGAACCCAGGAGGCAGAGGTTTCAGTGAGCCGAGATTGTACCATTGCACTCCAGCCTGGCGCCTGGCGACACAGTGTGACTGTCTGGAAAAAAAAAAGAAAAAGAAAAAGAAATTTTATTAAGTATGTCACTGATATTTTTATTGAGGTTGCTTTATATCTGTAGATCATTTTGTGTAATACAAGTGTTTAACAATAATGGCAGTTTATTAATGATCAATTTTTAATTCTCATATCAATTTCTTTAATGTTTTTTAGAATATAATGTAAGGTGCTTCAAATTTTTTGTTAAATTTATTTGAAAGTATAGTTACTACAGTTATTGTAGATGGAGTTGTTTTTAAAATTTATTTTGAGATAGTTTCTAGTTTATACAAATGCTACTGACAGGCTGGGACTGGTGGCTCACGCGGGTAATCCCAGAACTTTGGATGGCCGAGATGGGCAAATCATGAGGTCAGAAGTTCAGGACCAGCCTGGCCAATATGGCGAAACTCTGTCTCTACTAAAAATACAAAAATTAGCCCTGAGTGGTGGTGTGTGCCTGCAGTCCCAGCTACTTGGGAGGCTGAGGCAGGAGAATTGCTTGAACCTGTGAGGCAGAGGTTGCAGTGAGTCGAGATTGTGCCACTGCACTCTAGCCTGTGTGACAGAATGAGACTTCCTCTCAAAAAACAAACAAACAAAAAAAACATAAAAAAACCCAACATTTATGTTAAATAGTACTAAGAAAACTGGTTAGTTTTATGCAGAAAAAAGTGGACCCCTACCTCTTTCCATATAAAAAATATGTCAAGATAGATTAATGACTTACTTGTGTCTTCAAGCTACAAAAATTCTAGAACACTTAGAAAGTACTCTTCTAAACACTGGCCTCTGGAATGAATTTCTGAATAACATCTTAAAAGTGAGTTCAACAGAATAAAAATTAAGACTTTGCATCTAATTAAAATAAAGAGCTTCTGAACAGCCAAAGAAACTTACCAACAAAGGAAACAGACATTCTAAAATATGAAATAAAATATTTCCAAACTGCATACAAGTGATTAATACATAGAATCTATAAGAAATTTAATTTGAAAAACTAGAAAAGTAATATAGATACTTCTCAAACAGACATAAGAGTTGACAATAAAAATTCAGAAAATGCTTTAACATCCCAATCATCAGAGATGTAAACGAAAATGACAGTGTGATACCATTTCACACCATTTAGAATGGCTGTTATTATCAAAAAGTAACATGTTGATGTGGAGAAATAGATATCATTATAACTGTTGGTGGGAATGCAATAAATTATTTTGAGATAGTTTGAGATAAATGCAATAAAATTTAGCCCCTGTGGAAAGCTGTTTGGGGATTTCTCAAAGAACTAAAACTAGAGTTCCCATTTAACCCATCACTTCCAAAGGAGAATAAATTCGTTTGCCAAAAAGACATCTGCACTCATGTTTATTGAAAATTTACAATAGCAAAAGACATAGAATTAAACAGGGTGCCTATAAATCTTAGACTGGATAACAAAAATGAGATACTTATGCAGCATGCAATACTATGCAGCCACAGAAAAAACTAATTTCCTTTATTGCAACATGACTGCAGCAGAAGGCCATTAATGTAAGCGAATTTACGGATTAGTAAAACAAATACCATATGTTGGAGGTATAAATTGGGTGCAGATGGAAACATGAAAATAAACACTAAAGAGGTAAAACTAAACGTGTAAAAAGATGGAAGAAGAAAGGGAGACAAGCACTGAAAAACTACTTTCAGGTGTGATGTACACTACTTGGGCAATGAGATTATTAAGTATCCAAACCACGACACCATTTAGTATGCCTGTGCTACAAATCTGCACATGTAGTCCCTGAATCTAAAATAGACATGATGAGATTTTTTTTTTGGTATAATGACATGTTTTTTAGTTCCAAGTTAATAGTTGGAATCAGCGGTGAAAGAATGATTTATTCCCTAAGGCATAGGGGTAAATGTTTCTAAACCAAGTCTCCCACATTTTCTAAGGTATCTTCTCCTAAAGCTCTTGGCCTATAGCCCAAGATATGTTTTATTCCCAAATGCGCAGTGAAAATAGATGACTGCCTCTGTATTTTTTATGTATTAACTATACACTAGACTATATAATTAATTTGTTACTTTTTGAGGAAAAGTGGTATGGGATTTAATCACATTTTCTTAAGAATGAACCACTTTTGAAAATATGAGGCTGTGAAAATCATGCTAAATTATTAAGTTAACAAAACCTTTTTCTTAAAAAAAAAAAAAAAAAGCATAGAAGTTGTATGACCATAGCCCAAGAATGATGAAACAGAGAGTGGGTTAAGATCACACTGCTGCAGGTGAGTCGTGGACTGCCCCGACCTCCGCGATGGCCTCTCTGCTCTCCAAGGACGCCTACCTGCAGAGCCTGGCCAGGAAGATCTGCGCCCAGTCAGGCCCGCAGCCGCGGGCGCGCACGCGGGCTGGCAAAACTCAAGGCTCAGAAACTGCAGGACCCCCAAAAAAGAAAAGGAAGAAAGCGCAAAAGAAATTCCGGGAGCGAGAAGAGGTTGCTGAGCACAAGGCCAAGTCCTTGGGGGAGAAGTCTCCAGCAGCCTCTGGGGCCAGGAAGCCTGAGGCAGACCAAGGGGAAGCAGCTTCAGCTTCCAGCTCAGCAGAGACCCCTGCAGGTGTCCTGGCCACAGAGCCTGAGTCTCTGTTTGCCCTGGATGTTCAGCGGCAGCGAATGCATGAGGAGATCCAAGAGGCCCGGGGCCAGGGCAGTGCCAAGGAGCTGTCCCCTGCTGCCCTGGAGAAAAGGCAGCGGAGAAAGCAGTAACGGGACCGGAAGAAGAGGAAGCGAAAGGAGCTGCGGGAGAAAGAGAAGGCCAGGAAGGCTGAGAAGGCCGCGGAGGCCCAGGAGCCAGTGGAGCCAATCCCAGAGGGGGCCGGCAGGGAGCCTCGGGAGCCGCCGGGGCTGATCTTCAATAAGGTGGAGGTGAGTGAAGACCAGCCGGCCAGCAAGGCGCAGCGCAGGAAGGAGAAGAGGCAGAGGGTGAAGGGGAACCTCGCGCCGCTGACCGGGAGGAACTACCGGCAGCTGCTGGAGCGCCTGCAGGCGCCGCACAGCCGGCTGGACGAGCTGCGCGGCCAGGATGAGGGGAAGACGCAGGAGCTGGAGGCCAAGATGAAGTGGACCAGCCTCCTGTACAAGGCGGAGGGCGTGAAGATCCGTGACGACGAGCGCCTGCTGCAGGAGGCTCTGACGCGCAAGGAGAAGCGCAGGGCCCAGCGGCAGCGCAGCTGGGAGAAGCGCACGGCCAGCCAGCGTGGTGGAGAAGATGCAGCAGCGCCAGAACCGGCGGCGGTAGAACCTGCGCAGGAAGAAGGCGGCCCACGCCGAGCGCCGCCTGCTCAAGGCCCGCAGGGAGGGCTGCATCCTGCCACAGGACCTGGAGCGCGCGGGCCTGACCTGAGCCTTTCCCGCCTGGGAGGTTCCCGGGGACCCTCTGAGTCCTTCATGGTGGCTCATCCCAGGATCTCCGCGGACCTCGGCCCCTCCATGTGAAGGGGACAGAGTCGTGCTCTGCTGAGTTGTGAGGGCTCAGGTCACCCGTGTGAAAGAGGATCTTTCAGCGTCATCCTTGAAAATGGGACCCAGGGCCTTCAGACCCAGGGAAACGGTGAGTCAGACTGGGGCCCGGTCTTTCACGGGCCTGAAAGCTTCCCCGAAGTTTGCAGGGTCAGGGAGGAGGGATGGTGGGGGTGGGCAGTCACTGCCTCTTCTCCCCTGCCTGTGTTCGCAGGAGCCACAGCACGGAAGAGAGTGGCCTGTATTGCCAGGCCACCTTAGCTCACAAGCTCACAAGAACGACCCTGAGGTGTAGCGTATGGGCACCTGGCACTCGGGAGTGGCAGGAGCATGTCCAGGCATGGGGCATCCTGGGGCAGAACGCCATGGCTCCTCCCCCTTCTCATGGCTTCTGCCTGTGGGGGTCTCATTCCTTTCTCTTCTTCACTGCTCAGAATTTAGAGGGAGGAAGGGAGCTGTACCTTCCCAGAGTCCATGCATGTGAGTTGGGCCATGTGCATTGGCCCAAAGGAAAAGAGAAAGAATAAAACTAGAGAGTGTGAGGCAAATGGAAGCTGGAAAGTGGGATGGAAGAATTAAATCCAAAGCCTCAGGCAGTCAGATGAATGCAGGTTGAATCAACTCTGGCGAATTTTAGTGGTATACGGATGATAAAGCTGTAAATAAAATTCTTTGGTTTCCGGTTATGAGACAAAGATTGTAACCGAAAAAAAAAGAAAGAAAAAAGATCACATTGCTGCAACCATTCCATCACAATCATTTATATATATATATATATAAAATGGGTCAGAAGGAATTTTTAGAATACTTTTACTGATTCTGTCAAAGTGTTATTTTATTTGCTTCATTCTTTTTTATTTTTTTGAGTTAGAGTTTCACTCTTGTCACCCAGGCTGGAGTGCAATGGCACAATCTTGGCTCATTGCAACCTCCGCCTCCCGGGTTGGCTAGGCTGGTCTCGAATTCCTGACTTCAAGTGATTTGCATGCCTCAGCCTCCAAAACAGCTGGGATTATAGGCATGTGCCACCCTGCCTGGCCCAATTTTAAATTAAAAACATTTCCAGCAATTTGATAGGCCTGAGATTTGAGAAAAAAAATTGTCTACTCATCATTCATCAACACTAGGTTTTGAATACCTTGTACAGAAAATTAAATAAAATTAGTTAACTTTCCCCAGACTTAATCTGATTAAAACAATATCTGGGTATTTAGAAACACCAAATTGGATGGGCACTGTGGCTCATGCCTGTAATCCCAGCATGTTGGAGGCTGCGGTGAGTGGAGCACAAGTTTAGGAGTTCGAGACCAGTGTGGCCAATATGGTGAAACCCTGTCTCTATTAAAAATATAAAAATTAACCAGGCTTGGTGCCATGCACCTGTAGTCCCAGGTACTCAGGAGGCTGAGACAGGAGAATCACTTAAACTCGGGAGGTGCAGGTTATAGTGAGCTGAGATCACACCACTGCACTCCAGCCTGGCAACAAAGCGAGACTCCATCTCAAAAACAAAAAAACCCCACCAAATTATGTGCCCTTAAAAGAGCTTTGAGATCCAGGGAGGGAGTTGTGTAACTCTTCTAATGCCCAAGATTGAGGAACATTCTTTTCAGAAGACAGTCTTTCATTCAGGTGGCAAACTACAGGACCCCTGTTCTTGGCTATATACCAAAAACTGGCCCACCAAACTTGGTCCCACTGAAAACTCTGAACTCTTCCTGTAATCATCCCAATCTCCTTTCAGCTACAGTCTGGGAGAGATCCTGCCCTTCCAGAGGTCTGGAGGAAGACACCCGTTTATAGCCATGCTGGCAGGCCTGCAGATATTGGCTCTTACTGTGGTCCCTGAAGCAGTTCCATGAGTCAGTTTTAGCTCTCTGGGCCACAGTGAATGGCATGTTCTGGTTATGTAGAAACCCGTACAGTGACCTTGGGAAATCCTCTCTGGTACTCAGTGAAAGTCAAACTCATCTACATTCTAATATAAAGCCTACCATAAGCAAACCCAAGTGCAGAAACCTGTCCTAGAGTCTGCCCTACAGAGCAAAGTCCTGAATTTACTGTGTCCAAAAATAAAATGGGAGTTACAACTACCCAATCCCCTTGTAACAAGCCAACTAAAGGTGGATTCATATGCAGACCCAGCAGCCTTTATGACCAAGCTACAACCCCTCTCCACTACAAACCCATAGAGCATCCCATCACCCTGGGGGCCCAACAAAAGATGAAACCAGTTTTTAAAAATTTGAAGAAGTGTTTGGTCCTTCAAATTTACAGACACCAATGTAAAAGTATATTGTGCCCATTCTCAATACTTCTATATTAACATAGCATTGGAAGTACGTGGAATAAAAATCAGTCAAAAAAACTTTTAAGTAATTGAAATTAAAGACAAAAAATAAAAGTTGTTTTTTGTAAATAATTTGATCTTATATAAAAAACCATGAATAGTACATTAAAACCTAATTAAAGTAGTAATTGTGCTCAATAAATTTGCAAAATAGAAAATTAACATACACATTATGGTTCCATACACTTTAAATAAACTGATAAAATAGAGAAAGAAAGCAATCTTATTTACCATAGCACTAAAATAATAACCAAAGCGCTTAAATATCTTTGAAATAAAGGATATATCAGTTAAAAAAAATTGAAAGAACAAAAATAAATTTAAAAACATTTCATGTCTATTGATTGATAGAAAATTGTTGAAGTGCCATATTATCTATAGTGATCTCTAGATTCAATAAACTATCAAAATACCAGTATTTTTTACAGTAATAGGAAATATAATTCTAAAACTCACATAGAACTACAATAAACTTTGAATAGCCAAAGCAATCTTAAAAAAAGAGAACGAGGCAGAAGAGCATTATACTTTACATATATATAGATGCGTCTGATGTACTCACTTGCACTCGCACCTACCTGGGAATCCGGCTGCCATCTCATGTCCCTTCACATTCCAAGGCTCTTTTCCTTGCTCCAGACAGGTGATCAGGTCTGGCTTAAAGGCAGCAATACCTGCTTTATTGAAAATTACATGGATCTTGCTAATATTCTTCAGTTAGCAACTTAGTAGTGTGCTCAGTAAAAAGAATGTAATAGAATATTCTTTTTTTTTTTTTTTTTTTGAGACGGAGTTTTACTCTTGTTACCCAGGCCGGAGGGCAATGGCGCGATCTCAGCTCACCGCAACCTCTGCCTCCTGGGTTCAGGCAATTCTCCTGCCTCAGCCTCCTAAGTAGCTGGGATTACAGGCACGCGCCACCATGCCCAGCTAATTTTTTGTATTTTTAGTAGAGACGGGGTTTCACCATGTTGACCAGGATGGCCTTGATCTCTCGACCTCGTGATCCACCCGCCTCGGACTCCCAAAGTGCTGGGATTACAGGCTTAAGCCCCCGTGCCTGGCCTGTTCTGTAAATTTTAATAGTGATTTTATGTAGTCTTTCTTTCACACTCTAAAGAGCAAGTATCTCTTACTTTTTTTAAAAAAACTTTCTAGGTAATAAAAATGTCATCCCATTTAAATAAGCATTTTCTTAATTCTATTTTGCATCGACCTAATAGACAACAGAGATGGAGCCTCAACATTACATGCTCTCCATCTCTACTAAGCACCCCAGCTTTTACCCAATAGGAATCTTGAGTATCCACACTTGCCCATGTTCCACAGCCACGAAGAAAACATTCTTAATATTGCAGTTTATAAATTTATAATGAGAATTATTGATGACATATAAGAAGCTATGATGTTGAGAATGTAGAGAAGATTCTGGTATATAGGACAGATAGTTTTCAAAGAACCTTGACTATTATAGGAACTAAAAAGCAGTTAAATTCATTAGGAAGAAAAAGCACAAGTAAGTAGAGCTTTGCAAGTACTAAATGCATGGCATTCCAGGAGGCAGAGCAGACACAGCTCTTAATCTGAGACGTGTTTAACTAAAAAAACAAAAAAACAAAATTCCTTTTTTAGGGGCAGAGCAAAGATGGCTGACTAGAAGCAGTGGTGATCAGAGGCTCCTACCAAAAAGAACCATAATAGCATGTGAATCTTGCACTGACACCTGAGGTATCCAGGTTCTCTCATAAGCACTGACTAGGCAGCTGACATGACCCACAGAGAGAAAGAGCAGTGTGGTGTGGCAACACACCTGAGAGCCACACAGGGCAGGGGATCCCCACTCCCGGGGATCCCCACTCCCCAGCCAAGAAAGTGGTGAGTGAGTGTGCTACTTAGCTGACACAACCATGCTTTTCCACGGAACTGTGCATCCCACGGATTGAAAGATTTCACTCAAGATCCCACTCCACCACGGCCTAGGGTCTCAACCCCAGAGCTGTGCAGATTCTCAGCAACCTCTCAGCTAAAATCTGCTTAAGCCTGATGAGTTCCCAGGGGAGGGATGACCAGCAACACTGCTATGGCTGCCTGCAGTCTAAGCCATTTGAGCTCCCTGGGGGAGGGGGAGCAACCAGCACTGGGATGATAGCTGCCTAACACACAAAGCTCCTTGGGCAGAGGAAGGGAAGGGCAACAGCCATCTCTATAGTGGCAGGCTGTGCTTTTCCCCTGCTGGAGCCAGGGACGCTGGATCGCTTGATCCCAAGAGGTGTCTCCCACAGCCCAACAAACCGGCTATGGCAGACTGCAGCCAGAGCACCTCTTCAGGCCTGACCATGACTCATCCCTCCTCACTGTGTGGGGCCTCCCTGCAGGAACTCCAACAACTCCAGCCAGTGGCTCAAGGACAGAACTCCAGTCTTCCTGGAGCTGAGTCCCTAGGGAAAGAGGTGACCACAGTCTCTGCAGACCAACAGACTTAGGTTTTTCTCCTACCAGTTCTGAGGAATCCAAGCAACCAAAGTAATGGGCTTACCCCCAGCAAAACACCCCCTCCACCAAGAAACAGTAAAAGTGCTTCATTAAATGGGTCCTGTTCCTTGTGCCACCCAATTGGGCGAGATAGTCCAACATGGGTTGTCAGAGATTCTTTACAGGAGTGTTCCCACTGGCATCCAATTGGTATTTCTTGACATCAGAGATTTCAGAGGAAGGAGGAGGCACCCATCTTTGCTGTTCTCCAGGCTCCTTGAGTGATATCTGCAGGTGCAGGAGTCAACCGGGATAAATAGGGCCTGAAGTGAACCCCCAGGAAACCACTGCAACCATATAGAAGAGAAACCTGACCATGTAGAGAAAAGTGAACAGAAATAACAGCAACAAAAAGGCCCCACAAGAACCCTATCCAAGAGTCAGCATCTTCAAAGACCAATACTAGACAAAGTCATGAAGATGAGAATCATTGAAAAAATGCTGAAAACCCAAAAGGCAAGAGTGCTTCTTCTTCTTCAAATGATCACAGTGCCTCTTCAGCAAGGGTGTGGAACTGGACAGAGGATGAGATAGGCAAACTGACAGAAGTAGGTTTCAGAAGACGGGTAATAACAAACTCCACTGAGCTAAAGGAGCCTTTTCTAACTGAATGCAAAAAAAGCTAAGAACCTTGATAAAGAGTTAGAGAGAGGAGCCACTAACTAGTAGAAACAGTTTAGAGAAAAACATAAATGACCTGACAGAGTAAAAAAATCACAGCATGAAAACTTCTTGAAGCATATACAAGTATCAATAGCCAAATTGACAAA